TCATTACCGTCTGTCCTGTCAATGAGCTCCAAATTAAGGACTATGAGGAACAGCGAGATAAAAGTCACCGTCTTGGCTCCATTATGGGCGATCTTGTCAGTGATCTGAGAATCACTGGAAAGGGCTTTTTTTTTTTTTTTTTTTTTTTTTTTTTTTTTTTTTTTTTTTTTTAATGTACTTTTCAAACCATGCCTCGGGATGCCAGGGTTTGAGGTGCGCTGAGAGAAGCAACCTTGAAGCACCCCAGGCTGTGCCTTAGGCGTTCCCATTGAAACTGCCACAGCTTCTTTGGGAAACGGTGTGAATTCAATGGAAGAGCCGGAATAATTCCATCAAAACTGTGCTGGGGCCAAAGAGGACTTCATTTGATTTGGGCGACACGTGTGATCCCATGAACAGACACTTTTTTTGACCATTATTTTCTTAAGTCAACACAAAGATGGTGAAGGGGAAAGAGGGAAATAAAATAGAAGCCTCAACTTTAGGAAAAGACAATACGTTTGAGATAGCCCCTTCCAGGCATTAAGACTTTCAGAGAATGTCCCCAGTCTCTCTCCTGCGAGCCTGAGAGAGTTAAGGGGACTTATTCAGGAATTGGAAACCTTCAATTCTGGATTTTTGTGCTTTTGTGGGTTTAAGCAAAGCAGTTAGCGTTCTTCGGGAGGGGTTTTGTGTTTAATATACATGAGTTCATTCAACTACAATGGGAAAAGAAAACTCATTTGTTCTTATAAAACTAGGAAGGAAAGATAACTTTAAATAGACTGCCAAAAAGGATCCCGCTCGAGGGGGCTGCCTTCCTGCTAAAGAGCCAACATTCAACTGTAATTTCACCCCTTACGTTGTACAGTAATTCCTAAGTTTATCCTCGCCACTGATCTTGATTTTCTGATTTATTTTAAAGATAACATAAGAAAAAGTACGGGCTTCATTTATACTTTGCTTTGGGAAAGAAATCCCGGGAGTGCGATTTTAGATGCAGAGCAAAAATCGCGGACAGTTTGAGGAAGATGTTGGCTATTTATGAAGAGTCATGGAAGCCTGTTTGGACAATCGGCTTCTCCTTTTATTGAGAAGCCTTTTGAAAGCGACTTCGAGATGTGGTGTGAGCGATTCGGCTTTTCTGCTGCTTATTGTGTACGTTAAACTCCCCTCCAGGATCCGAGTTTTAATTTTTTCTTTAAATTTTCCTTCTTGCAGCACTGAAAAAAGAAAAAAAAAAAAAAGAGAGAAAAAAAAAAGCAGCTATTTTTTTAACCTCTCGGCTATTTATTTTTGCGGCCCCAGCACCGGCTCACCGGGAGGGGAGGTGGCGGTGGGGCCGCTCCGGGGGCACTGCGGGACCCCCTGGGCGGGCGGCCCGGGAAAAGCCCCGCATCCCCCACATCCCGCATCCCGCATCCCGGCATCCCCGGGCCCCGCAGCCCCGCTCGGGCCCGGGCCGTGCGCTGCCCGCCCGGCCGCACGTGTGCTCGCCCCGCGCTTCCATTCGGGAGAACAGGGATGAAAGGAGAGGCCGGGAGCAGCGCGGGGCTCCCTCGGTATTCCCCGGCTTTCAAGGGTCCTTAGAGCCCTTGAATGAAATTATTGGGCGAAATGGGGTCTGGCGGGAGCGGCCGCGGCTCGCCCCCTCCTTGGTTTGTACGTGTAATGCCACTTCTGAGAGCGACAATCGGGCTGCTTGCTGGACAGGGAGGGACAAAAAGGAGATTAAACCGTTTTAAATAATAATAAAAAACATCCCGAACGCAAGCAGAGTGGATTACACTTGCCGCGGCGCCCCGGCTCCCCCCAGGCTCCCCGAACAGCCCCTCCGGGCCCGCGGGCGGAGCGGCCCCGGCCCGGCCCGGCCGAACTGCCCGGGCTCCCGGAGGGCTCCCGGCTCCCGGGTGAGATCCTGCTCCGGCTGCGGACATCCTGCATCCTGCATCCTGCATCCTGCATCCTGCATCCTGCACCTGCCGGGGCTGGGGCAGGCTCTGCCCCTGCGCTGGGCCCGTACCCACCCCAAGGCATTTCAGACTATCTCCCCAAGTTTTCCTCGGGATACCACTGCAAACCCCCATGTGGTGACTGAAATCCCCCAGAGACCGGGGTATAGTTAGTTCATTAAAACTTCCCGGACTAACTTGGGCGCTGGGCTGCTACAGCATAAGAGGGGCAAGAGAAAATTTATCTGTACATTTTCGTCTTTGCCTATTTTTTTTAACGTAATGAAATTAAAACTTTTGGAGCTCACAGTTGACATTTTGCAGAAAATTGAGTTATCAAGGCAGTAATTATTTCACGGGGAGATAAAACTCTCATAGCCCTAACTGTCAAATAGGGGCCTTTTCAGATTTTAATTACAAAATAAAATTAGTCTGCTCTTCCTCGGAAGGGTTTGTGAGTGGCTAAACAGAGCTTTCCCCAATACTGGTGGTCGTCAAACTCTGCTAATTAGCAATGCTGAGAAATTCCAGTTAACAAGGACATTCTCTAAGTCTCTGCAGGTTCCCTGCCGTTCGCCTTCATTTCCATAAGAAGATTAAGAGTGGAGGGGAACACACTCAAATGCAGATGCAGAAAAGAAGCGTTTTTAACAAGCATCATAATAGTAAGATGCTTGGCTAGTTCTCACCTAATTACTGCAAGTTAAACCTCTATTTGCAGCTAAGGACAAAAAATGGAGCTGCAATCTCCCATCTCCACAAGTCTGCTTAATAGTTTGCTTTAGATTGGTTACTAGTAGGTTCAGGGAAAAAATAATATGAAAATGTGTATATTCTTTCCGATACAGTTAACACGATAGGTTGTATCCGTAGGGCTTTTAGAAAAATCGGCGAGCATTAGAACAATAAATACATAAAATCCAAGCAGTTAACATTCATTTTCTTTTTAAGACACTCATAACCTGGAAATAAGAGTGCGTGTGCCGCAGAGCCCATCACTGAGAACATTTGCAGACTATTTGTTTAATGTAAGCACTTTTCATTTCCATAAATTATACCAAAGGCAACGATTTTTTAAATCCACTCAGATTAAACCGTCCCTCTGCAGGCCTCCCTTCCCTAGCTGTATTCTTAGAGAGCTGTGGTGTTATTGTCATTAATATAGAAAATCAGGGACCATTTCATCTTTTTTTTTTTTTTTTTTTTTTATTTTGTAGCCAGCTTCCCGGTCTGCCTCTGCTTCCGCCCACCCGTGTGTGTATTCCCAACCAAGCAAGCCTCCATACCCAGAGGAAAGGCACAAAACGCCCCAAAAGAGCCATCGCCCTCACCTTATTTCCTATATTGCACTATTATGTATATATGCCAGTTTATTGCGCCGATAATTAAAAGCGTTAATTAAAATAGAGCCGTAAATACTCCCGATAGCACAGTTGTTAGGCATTTCCCATCCTTTATTCGTATGATAAATGCAATTAGGAAAGGACCAGGCCCCGCAAGGCTCTCGGCGAGCACCGGGCAGCCCGCGGTGCCCGGTCCTGCGCGGAGCTCCGGGCCGCGCACCCCACGCACCTCCCGCAGCTACAGCCCGAGCAAAAATAACCCCTTGCCTGCGCACCGCCAGCCCTCGCTTATCGGTTCAGCACAATGAGCAAGCACCTACACCGCCCACCCACCCCCTTTAAAAAAAAAAATTCAAAATAATTATCCCTAAAATTATTTTTTAATAACTTTATCAACTGGAGACCAAAGGGAGAACAATAAGGCAGTTAACAGCCGCCGCGCTCAGGAGTGTCTGGACAATCCCAACCCGGTTATACCCCACTTCTCGTCATTTGCACCCATTTTTCGACGGTTTAACCTATCACTTATCATGGGGTTATATATACATTTTCGAATTAAGCGCATTGGACCCGTTAGGATTTATTTGCATAATCTCCGCACATTAGGGAAAAAAAAAAAAAAAAAAAGAAAAAAAAAAGGAGATGCGTCCCATTGTTCCGGCGGTTTATTATTGTTGTTCTTTGGTGTTGTTGTTGTTATTATTATTGTTATTCCTTCGGGGTGTCCTTCCCGCTCCCTTCCCCCCGGCCCTCGCGCGGCTCCCGGCGGCGCTCCCGCCCGGGGCGCGGCCGGGCCGGCAGGGGGCGCCGCACCCCCTCCGGCTCCACGCCGTGAGCGCCATCGCACCGAAAGGCGGAGCAACCCCGTCGAGGCAGGGGAGGCGCGGAGCGGCGCGGGGGAGCGCGGCCAGGGCGGCGAGCGGCTCCCCCCCGCTCCCGCTCCCTCCGCGTCCTCTCTCCCCTCCTTCCTTTGTCGTCAAGTGCGGTTTAGCAACAAAGATCCCAACAAGAGAGTGGAAGTAAACTTAGCCGGGGCTTTGTGCGGCCCGTGTAGTGACAACAAGGGAAACAAAACTACGTGTTTGTAGCGCCCGGCCGTCCCCTCAGCCCCGCGCTGCGCCCACCCGGCGCCGCCGGCGGCCCGCAGTGGGCGCGGGGTGACGGAGCCGCCGGGGCCAGCGGCGGACGGAGCGCGGCCCGGACCCCTCCCCAGCTTCTGCAGAGGGGTCCCGGCCCCGCTTTGTGCTCGGCGGGGATGGCATGTGGGAAAGCCGTGTTTGCACTGGACATCCCCCTCCCGGGAGGCCGGAGGCCGGGGGGAAGGGCTTGGCGCGCTGTGGCGCGGCCGCACGGAGCAGGGCCCGGGGAGGGCCGGGAGACGGCACAGCCTCTGCCCGGGCGGTGCGGCGAGCTCCGCTCCCCGGCGGCGGCAGCAGCAGGGCCCGGCCGGGGGCTCCGCCTCACGGGGACTGCACGGCCTGGACGGGGCGAGCGAGGCACACGCAGGGCCCAGCCGGGCGGCCCCTCTGTCCCGAGGGGCACCGCCACAGGGCTGGGGGAAGCCGTTCCCGCTCCGCTCCCCCCATGGCTTCTCCTAGCCCCAAGCCAACACCAACTTAAAGGGGAAAAAAAAAAAAGAAAAGAAAAAAAAAAAACCACCACGTAGCAACAATGCTGTTTACCCACTTCCTCCAAAAGGCGTGTGTGACCTGTTGCTGGAAGGGGA